TATAATATTACATTAAATTCTTCTTACCCACAGATTGATCAGGTATCCCTGCATCTCGAGAACTCCATCGACACAATGAACAAAATAAATAATATACTTTTTTAGGAGTAGCTTTAACATCCTTATTTTCTTCTCCTTCTGTTGCTGTTGCTTTTACAGTTGCAGCTAATCCTGCTCTTGTAGATAATGTTTGAAAGCAACAAGGACAATCGAAGCAATTAGAACATCTGTCAACATATTATTATTATCATAATACCCTTTCTCTAATGTATATAAAATGTAAAATATGCAAACGTACTTGTTCTTTTTAAGACGTACTTCCGATGAAGGTAAATTTTCCATACAGTTTGGGCAATAATGGGAATCGACCTGAATAATGAAGAAACTTTTATGGAGAATATACGAGCTTTGTACATCGAAAAATATGTTTATATAATAAAAATCCAATTATATATATTCTTCTATTCGGATTTGTTTAGAGATTTTAAGAGACACACCTCTTGACAGACACAGTAGCCGCATCGTATCATCAAGCAATGTCGACAAAAATATATTTTTGATATAGGCTTCAATGAACCACAGTTGCATACGTAGCGCACATAATCCGGTTGGTTTAAATAAGTCATATTGGAATAAACAGTTTAAAAATTTACAAGATAAAAGAACAGAAACGTCACACACTGTGTAAATGTTTCTTTCTATACTTTGATAACCTCACAGTTTAACCATTTTCTCCCCAAAATGTCAGTTAGACGTAGTGGATAGACAAGCAACCGTAGTGGAGGGGATAACGCACACAAGCGAAAACCACGTACATACATGTGAGCTCGGTGCTTCGGCTAACTTCGGATAGTAGAAAAGGACAGATATACTGTTTTCTGTCTTTTTCCTATCAAGCCGGCACGAAGCTATTAATTCATATGTGTATGTGTATCTGTGTGTGCGTAAAATGTCGAAATATTTTTACAAACTACGTATATTTATTCTGCATCGATACGCTCACATGTCATCGCGCGGAATCATGCGGAGGAGAGAAAAAGAGAGAAAGAGAGAGAGAGAGAGAGAGAGAGAGAGAGAGAGAGAAAGAGAAATCACTTCTCGGATATTATTTCTAATCTCAAAATTAATTATAATTTTTCGCTGCACATAGATTCTATACATATTATTACTTTCTTGTCCTGTGTTTCTGTCTATTTTAATCTTATTATTCCGGAAGTATTCATGTGGATGAAAGTAGAAGGATTCGTGAATGTACAGTCATAAAGTACCATCACGCGATGGTATGTTGAGTACATATAAACTCAGCCAAGCGTATAGAGCAACTGATAATTACAATGTGTACTTTTACAAAGAGCAAGGAGATGTATTAAGAGAATAGAAAATCTGTCGAAGTCAAGCAACATTGATTACAAAATATTTGACTATTATTTTTATAGATGCTCCCATCGAGAAATTGTAGGAATCCAGCTAGCAAACACTTCCTGTGCGTTACGCAGTTACAACGATATGGCAATTGCAGCCGCAAAAAATTTCACTGGACAACCACGGATCATTCTGGCGGAAAGAGAGAAGGGCGACGATCACGTGAGTAAAGAGTGAAAGTTAGCTTGTGTCCCGCATAATCTTCATATAATAAAAGATAATCGATTCTCAATTAACACATTTATGTTCCAACAAAATATAAAGCCTTATTTCTTTTCGCTAATCAATCGTCATGCAAATAATTATGCAATTATATTATAATATGTTACTCGCAATCTTCATAAAACTTATTTCTGTTATGTTGCGTTAGAAAGACAATTCTCATCTATGTCGAATATTTCGGTATCATATGGTGATCTCGTGATAGAGCGCATGAATTAAAATTGCTAATCGTACACTATGCAATCTCATCATATCTTCTAATCACGCTTGACCGTAAGGTTAATAACTGGAGAGCACACAAATCCATCTTCGTTTTCCTAAGATCGGTCTAACTGTACACGAAATGGTAATCGAGAAGAAGAGATTCAAGAAGTTAAAGTTTTATTTCTCTCTCTCTTTTTCTCTCTCATACATCTTGAACAAATCAAATTTTATTAATTTTAAATTTATGAATATTATTGATCATAAGTTTATGGATTTATCTATAAAAACGATCTCTAAATTATATTTTGTACCAAACTTTTCGTGCTACGTCTCTTCAAAAATACATTTCCAACATCTGAATTTGAACAATTCTTGAAAGAATGTTCGCGCGATCAAAATGCTTTCTCTGAGATTTCTTAAATTGCCTTTAGTTATCTCCGCAAACTGCAATCTGATCTGTGCTCCAAGGGTAGTCTCGCGAACGAACATCTGTGCGAACTAACAGTATACATAACCGTATTGAGATTATGCAAGGCTAGTCGATAGCCGGTGGATAGTAATGCCAGATGTTTTACGCCAGTAAACATAATATTAGTCGACGTCGCCGCGATAGTGCATAACCAAGCCTAACGGTGGAACCATCATAACGCCCCGTAATTGCGATCCGATTCTCCTCGGCATCCTTGGAACTTGATGCTATTTGGAACACCAAGGTAACGTCAAGGTATTCGATAATTGATGACGCGTTCTGAATGAAGTCGATGTATTTCGTTGAACGATAAGATTTTACGTACAAAAGATATCTTTTATTGAGCGCACCTTTTTTCTTTGAATTGCAGATTATTCAACCAATTTCTGATTCTTTTTTTTAGTAAAAAATATCGAAGAAGATATTATTTTTTGTAACTTTCCAAAGTTTAACATATATATTTACAAGTTTCGTAAAAAATTGAAATTTTATCAAAATATAATTTACTCACACGAGAAATTAACTGAAAGATTTTATTACTTATTTGAAAAAAAATTATATTTTTAATTGTTTATGATATAATAGCAAATATTTTTCTAAAGGGAAAATTGATTCAAAATGAGAAAATTTGGGGAAAGTGTATACTTGACAAGGGCTATTTAATATATCCGATTATAATGTATAAGAATGTATCGAATATTTTTTGCTGTATCTGTGATTAAAATTTATTAAAAGCTAAATAACTCGTTATTTTTGAGATATCGGTGATAACTTTCTCAATATTCATAAAAATTGGAAATTCTTGGCGGCTCATATATTTCAATATCATTATTAGTTCCTGCGGCTTTTATGAAACGTGCACGTCTCTGGACGAAACTCGATTTTACATTTCCAGTAAAAGCAATTAAACCGATTACGTTTTGACGTTCAATCTGTATGTTTAATCAACTACTTTTTTCCGTGTCGTATAAAAACCGAGCCTTTCGATTCTTCGATTATGAGTAATTGTCTGATTGGGTTGTTCCGCGTTCGACGAGGACACGGTGCGCGGCTTTATTCGTGTTATAACATATGCTGTCGCCGACATGCAATGTAGTAAAAGTTTTTTCTCTTTTTTCCCGGTGAGAAAACAGGAAGGAAATCGACATGCGTGTCGCGCAATGGAATCAATGGATCGATTATTAATGACTTTAATAGCGCGGTTTTTTACAGGAAATTTCATGATAAGCTTGTACAAGTCCGTAGTCATACAGTAACATACAAGTTATGGGAAAAAAATTTTGAAGCATTCTACAAATTATGTATAACAAATCGTAAATTATTCTGTTTTCGTTTTTATAATAACGAAAAAATTTCTATTTATTTTCTGATGTTTATTGAAACGCTTCATCGGTTAAAGTGATAATTTCTAATTTCTAATTTCTCATAATGTTTACAGTGTAATTTCTTTCTTTTGCGCGATACATAAACTTCGATATAAATCTAATGTTATTTTATTAAGAGAATCATGCTGATAGAAAAGAAATATAATAATGTTAAGGGAACAAAGACGAAGTTAAATCTATTTCGTAAAAAATATCGATAACATCCTTTGCTACATTGCATCTTATAAAAATCGAATATAAACTAAAAAAAAAAAAACAAATGTAATCGGAGAAAAAAAAATTATTTTTCTTGTTCTTTTCCATCGTCTTTCAATTTTTTTTATATATATCACCGCTTGCGGATCAAGAAATCAGATATATATATCATCGCGCATCTTAATTTCTCGTTCTCCATACGTACGCAGTTGTTTACAGGAAAGATTTTTTCCGGATACTCTAACGCACGAGGAGAGGGAAGATTAACGAACAATAATTTCTCTGGAAGAATCTCGGCGATGGAATTCGAAAATCACTTATTAAGTCAGTCGGCCAGCACCGACACGAATACTTGAGGAGACGGGGCCTTCTTGACCCGGAGAGAGAAAGAGAGAGGAAGAGAGGAGAGCGCGTCCTCCGCGATCGCGGCATCCCTCACTGTGCTGGCGAATGTAGGTCCTCGCGGGTCGGCACCTATAATGCGAACCTCCTACCTCGCGCCTTCGACTGCAGCCGCTTCGAAAAGCAGTACTTCTCCCTCTTCTTTTAACCCCACCAATCTTCGGAGTTCATTGAGAGCACGATAACAGGTGTCCCGCATACCGGGCGATATAAGTGTAGCCATAAGAATAGTGTCCTAGTGTCGTATATTTTTCAGTAGGACACTAGTCATGAATATGTAAATTTGATTTTCGAAGCGAAAACCGATCGCGCGTTTTCGTCCATGAGAGGATTTTGCAAGAGTACAAAGATACACCGCGTACCGTTGATAATATATATAACACAGATGTTCAAAGGGTGGCTGTTGAGAATATTATGAATAGATAAAACTTGTGAATTGAATTTACCGGGGGTTCGAAAGAATCACAGTCAAATTCAATAATATTTTCTCTTATATATATTTTCATAAATTTTCGTCATTTGATTGAGAGCATTCTCGTAAGAAGATGATTGCTATTAGACTCTTCGCACTGGTTTTATATCGTCCGTCAACCTGAGGTTTTTCGTAACAGTGCGCGCTACATCTGCCCGATGCAGCTGCGACAGTTAACGGATACACCGGCACATCGATCGGTAGCACGAGCCGTACAAGGCCAAGAGAAATATACCGGACCTACCTTGACCTACCAGCGGAGTTAATGTTTTTTTTGTAATTTATAAAATGTAAGTATACGCTACACGTTTTTATATATCATATCTTTGACCATATTGCTTTTACAATATTGTTATACTGTCATTTTACGGCGATGTGAATTAGAAGGATTAGAGAATGAGTCCGCGAAGTTTTACCACAAATGGATGACACAAACCAGACCCGGGCTGGCCAAAGAGTCGGTCGAGGAAGCTCTCCGATGGGCCGCGTGTCCCGGTGCCGTGTCCGACCGAGAGCATCCAGAAGACGAAGAAGAAGAAGAAGAAGAAGAAGCGGGGAAAAGGAGTCGGAAGGGTAGGGAGAGAATGGCGAAGAGGGGTCCTATCCGCTTCGCCTCTGGCTTCTCTCTCTTGATACACCTTTCTCCGGTTCCCCAACACCCGGCGGCGGGCCTTGGTTCCCCTTCAGTCCTCACCGGGACACAGACAAAGTTACGCACCCGGAGAAAGGTCAATCGGTCGGTTGTTCCGTCGCGCGGAGCTCTCGTAAACTTCTTCCCATTCGATAACCAGGTGTAATTTTCACCCTATCGTTTAACGATCAATAGCACGCGGAGTTGTCAATCACGATCGGCCGCGTTTCTCTCATTTCTCTTTTTTTTATTCATTTTTTTACGTTTTTCGACGACTTTTAATATTTCTTTCGGGGATCCCACTACGTCGAAGACCGCGAAAGGTAATCGCGAGGTGCTCGCCGGAACTGTTGCTTTTTGTGCCCATGTAACGGACAAGTTAGCACCGATA